ATGAGCTAGGGATGTGCCCATAGGAATGGGAAGGTCTAGGGGTATACATGTGACAAGATGGGCGGACACTAGATTCTTGATGGCGGCCTAACCTTGGTCATCCTTGGACGGGTTTGACCTCTCTGGGGTCTGCTACAAGGAAACAGACAACTACTATCCTTATCAGAAGGGAGTGGCCCCTATTTGTTGTGGGATAAACAGTGGTGTCTCCTTGCTCTAGATGGCTGATAACTCTTAGGGAGAATGACCCCTGATCTACTTCTGATGACCTCCAGTATATAGTCATTCGCAAGCAGCTAAGTTTGGCATATATTTGGGGGAGACAACTTGGGAGAAATCCTTCTGTTTCACACACCAACTGACTGGTCTCCTCTCATTTAAAAAAAAATCATTTTATTGGGGACTCATACAATTCTTATCACAATCCATGCATCCATCCATTGTGTCAAGCACATTTGTACATATGTTGCCATCATCAGTCTCAAAACATTTGCTTTCTACTTGAGCTCTTGGTATCAGCTCCTCATTTTCCCCCTCCCTCCCTACTTGCCTGTCCCTCATGAACCCTTGATAATTTTTAAATTATTATTGTCTTGTCATCTTACAGTGTCCTATCTCCCTTCACCCACTTTTTTGTTGTATGTCCCCCAGGAGGGGGTTATATGTAGATCCTTATGAGCGGTTCCCCCTTTCTACCCCACCTTTCCTCCACCCTCCCTGTATCACCACTCTCACCACTGGTCCTGAGGGGTTCATCTGTCCTGAATTTCCTGTGTTTTCAGTTCCTATCTGTACCAGTGTGCATCCTCTCATCTAGCCGGATTTGCAAGGTAGAATTGGGATCATGATAGTGGAGGGAGGAAGCATCAAAGAACTAGAGGAAAGTTGTATGTCACCAAACACATTTTATGAAGCCAGTATAACCTTGAGGCAAATACATCACCAATATTGGAAATTATAGGCTAATCTCTCTGATAAATATAGATGCCGAGATTTTCAGTAAAGTTGTACAGAATTCAACAGTGTCAACAAAAGGGATAGTTCAATATTAGAAAAATAATCAATGTAATCCACCACATAAAATGAACGATAAAAACCATGAGTATATCAGTTGATGCAGAAAAGGCATTTGATAAACACCCATTATTGATAAAACACTCAGCAAAATAGGAATAGAAGGAAAATTCCTCCACAACAAAAGGGCATATATGCCAAACCAATTTTGGACCAACATCTCACTTAACGGAGAGAAATGGAAACACTGACCCCGTCAGACAGAAGCCAGGCCGGGTTGCCCATTACCACTACTCCTGTCTCATAATGTACTGAAAGCCTTAGCCAGAGCTATGAGACATCAAAGAAATCTGTAGAAAATTACACCTTAATAGGAAAAATACAAATAGCTCACTCCAAAAAATGGGCACGAGGCATGTCACACAGTTTAAGATGACATCCAAGCAGTCAGCAACCATATAAAGAAATGTTCATTCAGTAAAAAAATACAAATGAAAACAGCACTAGGGTATCGCCTCACACTGACCATCTTTGCCGCACCAACACAAAATAATAAATGCTGGAGAGGATGTGGCGAGATTGACATATTCATACATTGCTGGTGGGACTGTAGAATTGTACAACCACTGTGGAAATTCATTTGGTGATTCCTTAAGCAAATACAAATACAGTTAGCTCTACTGAGTGTATACCCTAATGAAATGAAGAACACAACACAGTCATATGCACACCTATCTTTACTGCAGTAATTTCCATAATAGTAAAACGATGGGGAGAGAAGAATGGATAAATAAATTCTGGTGTGTGCACACATGTATTTTATGCATCAATTTTAAAAAATGACTACTCTGTCAAGCACTGCAAGACATGGACAAAAGTAGAGAACAGAAAACAATTTATAAAATTTCAAAGGTTCATGAGGGAGGGGGGAGGGGGAGGAAATGAGGAGCTGATACCAAGGGCTCAAGTAGAAAGAAAAGGCTTTGAAAATTATGATGGCAGCATATGTACAAAGGTGCTTGACACAATGGATGGATGGATGGATTGTGATAAGAGCTATACAAGCCCCCAATAAAATGATTTTAAAATTTTTTAATTAAAAAATGATTTAAAAAGAAAAAGTTGCATCTACTAAGGGTCAGGTTTACTCAGCACTTCAGATACATATATAAACAAAATAGAATTCATGGAAAAGAAAAAATTTAAAAGGTAGAGAACAGTATGCTTAGCAAAGTTAGTTAATCTTATAAAGATAAATTTAATGACATCAGTATTATAACAAAAAAAAGAAAAGTGACTTTCACACCGAAGGATAAAACTTTAAAAACTCAGAGAAACCCAGGGACAGGGATGGGAGCCGTTAGAGGGAGACACAGGAACTTCTGGAGGGAACGAGGGAGAGAAGAAGGGTGGAAGGAGGAAGAAAGGATGCCCTTTATGGGGGGTTTCAATCGATACTGTTGCTGATTTGATTGGATGAGGTGTGCTGTGCAGCTGCTAAGAGTATGTTTCCTTTAAAAACCAAAGTAAATAAGTAAATGAAGTTAAAAACATTTTTTTTAAAAAAGAGTGAATGCTCACATTGGTGCGAGTGGCTATAAAATGTAAAAGTAGGAAAAGTACAACTGAAGTGGACGTGGGTTCCTTAGGGACACACAAGTTCATTTCAAACAAATGAAAAAAAAATAATAGTGGTAACAGATGATAACTCAATGAATAAAACAGAGCCGGAGCCCAGAGGGACCTTTTGCTCCAACAGGTTAGACCAGGGAGCGCTCTTTTTCATAGAAGATTGCTGGGGAGTAGAGAGGAAGTGAGGTCTAGAGAGGTCAAGATACAGCACAGCCTGTGGAAGACTGGTCTAAGGCGGAGGCCACAAATACAGACCTTTGTGTGCTTACAGAAAGTCTGGGGAGATGTTCAGGTGCAAAATTGGATTCAGTGGTCTGATTCAGCAGCCCTGGAGTTTTCTATCAGACTCCCAGATAACTATGGAACTGGTCCTCTGTGGAAATAAACGTTTGTCCCCCTGGCTGGGGACAAATAGTTGACATATTTGAGAGGCTGGGCATTTAAGTCCACCCAGAGACGCCACAGCAGAAAGGCCTTTTGAAAAATTAATTATTGAAAACCCCCGGGAGTGCAGCTCCGTGGCACACATGGAGTGGCCTTGTGTGGATTCGACTCCATGACAACTGGCCAAAAGCACTGGTCAGACTTGGGCTTAATCATTCACACCATGAAAACATTCACTGTGTAATCATCTAGAAGAATGGTGCTTGTGTCGATTAATAAGAGCCCCCTGTTTGAATAGTGTTATGCATTCAGGTGTAAACCGCAGGTCAGCAGTTAGAAATCACCTACCGCTCTGTGGGAGAAAGACAGGGATTTCTACTCCTATAAAGAGTCACCGGGGCAGTTCTACCCTCACAGGGTTGCCATGAGTCAGCATCAACTCGATGGCAGTGAGCATAGCCTACTATTATAATGAAATTATATATAACAACATAGATTGTTATTTGCATGTTTTTAATTATATAATTTTAGGATCAAGATCTCTGTAAGTTATAACAAATGTTTGCTATAATTAGAAGTTCACATACTTTTTTTGGGATCATTTCATTGAGGGCTTGTACAACTCTTATCACAATCCATACATACATTCATTGTGCCAAGCACATTTGTACATTTGCCATCATCATTTTCAAAACATTTTCATTCTCCTTGAGCCCTTGGTATCAGCTTCTCATTTTTGTCTCTCCCTCCCCCATCCTCCTTCCCTCATGAACCCTTGATAATTTATAAATTATTATTATTTTTCCATGTCTTGCACTGACCAATGTCTCCCTTCACCCACTTTTCTGTTGTCCATCCTCTGGAAGGGGGTTATATGTAGATCACTGTGATTGGTTCCTCCTCCCCCACCACCTCCTTCCCCTTACCCTCCTGGTATCACATACATTTTTAAAGAAAAAATCTATGTTCAGATGTGCTAAATTGTGTGTTCATGTGTTTTTTTAAAGGGTTATGATAAGAGCTGTTTAAAACAATGAAATATCTTAAACCTAATGTGACATTAGATCCATTTTGGTGTATCGATTTATAAGATAGAAAAAGCTGGTGAATTTGTCACCTCCAAAATGTGGAGTTCTGCCCTCAAGCTGATGGGTCTGATCAATAATCGCTCCAAGTCTAGTAGCAAGATTTACAATTGTTAGCATGCAGGCGGGAATTCACAAAGGGAAACTCTATTACTCCTAGACAGCCTGGATGAGCCCTGGTGGAATAGTGGGTTATGATGCATTAGGCTGTAAGCCACAGGACAGTCGTTAAAAGCCACCGGCCACTCCACGGAAAGAAGATGAGGTTTTCTACTCCCTTGAAGTTTAGTCTTGGAAACCCACAGGGGCAGTGTAGTAGTTAGGGATTATGTCAACTAGACACTCCTGGCTAGGGGTGGAGTTAAACCCGTCAATCAAGTCCCAGCCTGATGACACTTCCTTGATGTCACAAATCTTTTGTATAAGAGCAAGAAGAACAGAGGTGATCTTTCTCTGCCTCTCCATCTCCCTGCCTGTTGTCCTGCTTCCTGCTTGACTTGTCTGCATCACCGGCTTGCAGCTGTGTGAGTCTGAAGAGGACCCCAACGTGCACTGGACTTGTGGACTTGAGTTGGACTGGGTTGGGATGCCTTCTTTTGATGTAAGATTATTTGAGGATATAAAGCTCTTTCTTATGCATACATTAAGTATCATTGAATTTGTTCCTCTAGACAACTTGGCCTAACACAGGCAGTTTTACCTTGTCCTATGAGGTAGCTGTGAATTGAAACTTACTCAATGGCAGTGAGCTTTGGAGTTGAATAGTAGAACTCTGCACTCACTATTCTTCTGAGTAAGTAATCAATCAATAATGGGGAAAATTACCTCAGATCCATCCCAATGTCATGCATTTGGAAAAATATAACACACCCTGCATAGCACTCGTGAAAAAAATCACCTGAATTTAATCACATGGAGTTTATTAATCAGTTGAATTCAGAATGTGAGACAGTGTCCAGGTGACTGGTTTGCAATATCAATATCATAAGAGACCAAAATAAGTAAACAAATACAGAAATAAATAAGCTTGAGGTCAGAGGAATAATCTGGATTAAAGGAGACCAGAGCCCTGACAATATGTGAACCATGTGTAGGTCCTGGATTGGGGCCTCTGGGGACAACACGGGGTCTGAGGCCACTGTGAGTCAGTGAGTTTGGGTTGAATATGCATTATGTATTAAATATTATCAAATATTGTTGCCAGTCTTTAGAAGAACGTTCCTATTCCTAGGGAACATGCTGGCATATTTAGGGGTGAAACATTTGAAGCTGAAGGGATTTGATGTCTGCAATTTACTTACCAGGGCAAGCAAACCAACTAATCAATGAAGTGATAGATTAAAAACATAAAGCATATAAGGCAAGTGGTAACAATGGGAGAATACTAGTGCAAGGTCAAGGTGAAGGTATGTGGAAATTTGTCTTGTTATTCTTGGAGCCTTTGGGGGGGGTTAATGTTTTCATTGGTGGGCGGGGGCATATTGAATGAGGCACCAGTTGAGTGCTGGCCCTGGAGAGTCTACGTTTCTCTTGACTCCCTCTCTGGTATGGGCTGCCATGGCTCAGCCAGTGTGGGGGTAGCACATTGGAGACCGCCTAGACCCTCCACGGGGCCTCCTGGAGCCAGCTGAGATGGCTCAGACTGGGCACAACCCTTGTCCCCCAGGAGGTGGAGGCCGGTAAAGGCAGCCCCAGAGAGAGTGTTTCTGCTATTGGGGAGCAGGGGCAGCTGGTGTTGGGGAGAGGGGCCTGGAGGAGGGAGGAGGAACCTGGAGTGTGTGTCCCCAGTAACTCCAGGCTTCCCTTGTATAACCATGGCCCACTGGCCTGTGGTCTAGACATTGGGAGTCCAGTGAGCAGGACAGGAAGGTATGCAGGAAGTCTCTTCCCCCTTCACCTGTCTGAGTGCCCATCTCTGCCTGCCCACGTGGACCCTGGCCTTGGTTCAGGCCTGTCCTCTCAGGGGCGTGGTCCTCTCAAGACTTCCACTGTCACCCGAACCTTCAACCATCTTCCTGCTTCCAGTGGTAGCCGCCAAGCCTGCTGCACCTCTCGTCTCTGTCTTCCTGGGCAAGGACTGCAGGGCTGAGACGGTTCAGGACCCCAAACACCAGGGCGGAAAAAGCAGGGAGGTGCTCTCAGTCTCGATGCTCACAGCTCTCTGCGGAGAGAAGGTCAGGAGGCAGAGCGGAAGAGTTCCCTGAGAGACAACCGGGGAACCATCCTGAGACGTGGGGCAGGTGGGCACTGGAGACCGGGGCTGGGTCTGTGAGCAGCTGTCTGGGGAGCTGGATTCTGGGACCCCCTCCTTACTGTGATTCTTAGGCTGTCTTCTTCAGAGCAGGCCCAGCTGCCTGGTCCACAGGAAAGCCTGGCTGGGTGTCTCACAGTGACCTCTTTCTGCTTGTCTGCCTCCACCTGCCTGGGGAGCTTGAAGTGCAAGGGTATGCATCCTGTCTCCGCCCTCCCCCAAAGCCGCAGCCTCTTCTGGGGAGGAAGGGGTGGGATGGTGACACCCAGCCAGCCCTCCGTGCTCATACAAATCTGACCTTTCTTGAGCCAGCTAATAAGTGCTGGGGAGATGCTCAGGAAAGTTAAGGTAAGATGTGCTTGCTGGGCAGTGGGTGTCCCGGAGGGGCATGAGCTGGATAGGATCCTCTGGGTGCAGGCCAGGGCCTGTGTAGGAGGTATATGGGGGGGGTTCGCAGGCCGGGGTAGAGCTACAGCGGACACCCGTGTGCTGGTAGAGAAACCACCGGTGCCTCTCGCTGCCCTGGCTGACTGAGAATATGGAACCTTATGATCGGTACTGAGGCCCAGGGTGAGGACGGGGGTATGGCAAGCTCCCAGGTAATTCCCCTTTGCCTCAAGGCCTCACCTTCTGAGTGGGCCCTCAAAGACTCCCTCCTACCCTCCTACCCGGCCAGCCTCTCGGACATTGAACTTTGTGAACAAAGGTCTGGAGTTTTTGTGGGGGACCAAAGGAATGAAGTTGGTGCTGGAATTCACTCTAGGACTTGGGGAGAAGGGAGCATCCCCGGGACATGGTGTTTTCTTACCGCCGCTTGCCTCCCTCTGAAACCCACGCCCCTCTTTCTCCTTGGGAGTTTCTTTCTGGATCCTGGTCTTGATTCCTCCTGAGGTGCAGCACAGAGCAGGCCTGATTCCGGCGCTGCACTCACACCCTTGGGCAGGTTTGAATGTTCTGGGCTTTTCTGCTCTGGGGGCCTGTTTAGGCCATCTGGACGCCTGTAGTTAGCTGGGCTGATTCCAGAACCTTCCATTAGGACTCTGGAACTTTGAGAGGTCAGGGAAGGACCACTCCTCCTCCTCCTCCACAGCACCTCCAGCCATTTCACTTGCCAAGCCAGCCCCCTGACTCCCAGCCCAGTACTTGTCCTGAGAGACCCTTGTGGGGGGCGTCAACACACCCGAGTCTCAGAAAGGTTGAACTGTGTCGGGCTTCTGAGAAAGGAAGTGGGCAGACACATGGTCCGTCCAGCCACCAGCCCCGCCTCTCTCTGCCCTTCCCTGCATCTGTCTCCTTCGGAAGCACCTCAGCCCTGCTCGGATCTGGCCCATTTCAGGGGCTGTGATGAGAGGAGAGTGACAGGAGTGACCTGAAGCGGCTCTGATGAGGCTTCCTGGACAGTTGGCTCTATGGGCCCTGCCCCACCATGCCCACTGCCCGGCAGGACCCTCTCCATCTGTGCTACTGTGCTGACCGAGTTGTTTTGTGGTGGACGTATGCCCATCCTCTGCCTGCGTGATTAGAGAGCCTCCCCTTCATATCAATCATACATGCACAATAGGTATAAATATCCTAGCCTCGCCTCCCTGCACACACCACTTCCCCTTTGAAGTAGCCCTGGGCAGACAGTGCTGCTAATCCTGTTTCTCGGCCACCAGGCTATCTGCTGTGCCTAGCTCCTCACCCTTCAGAAGCCCGCTGCACCCTGCCTTCCCGGACCCAGCACCCCTCTTCCCTCCCGTAGCTTACTCACTGAAGACTGCTCAGCGTGGTCTCGGGAGCCGCCACGTCCCGGCCTCCTCTTCTTGGTAGTAGAGAACTGTTTGTGTGTGTGTGTGCGTGTGGGTGTGCGCGTGACAGTATGTGTGTACAACCCCCCACCAGCCGCATCGCCGCCGGTGATTCAGTTCTGCAGCACTGACTCGCAGTGACACGCCCCCTGGGTTGATGAGGCCGTGGGTCTTCCTGAGAGCAGGCAGCCTGCTCTTTCTCCCGATTGGCTAGCCACCCGGCAGCCTCCACCGTTCCCGGATAGGTGGGGTTAACCCGGAGTGGGATCGGGAATGGGACACGAAGGGGCTGGCGACAGATGCGTGGGAGCAAACTGTGTGTCAAACTGGTGATCCAATTCGCCATAAAAAGTTAGAAAAAAGAAATAATGGGATTGTTGCATGAAATGTTTGGAATCTCCGTGTGTGTGTGTGTGTGTGTGTGTGTGTGTGTACATGTGTAAATATGCATCTATGAAGGGGCTTCAAAATGTAGTGGAGAAATGGAATGAAAATTTTTTTTTCAATCGTTTTTGAAGTCCTGTTCCCTTGCCCTGCCTCACCCCAGTATGTGTGTGTTCTCGTGTGTGTGTGTGTGTGTGTGTGTGTGTGTGTGTGTGTGTGTCTCTGTTTCCTGAGAAGAGTGGGTGCTGGCGAGGACTGCTGAAGCCTGCAGAGAACAGCCTGTGACCCCACCCACCTGCCAGGGTGGGGCCAGACTCCTGGGTGACTGACAGCCGGTAGGTAGCAAGGAGAAGGGGCCCATCACAAAGACCTTATCTCCATGCAGTGAGAACCCTCGTCCAGAGGGCAGGCATTTTGTTTGGGCTGCCCTGTTGGGGGACAGGTGGTACCTGAAGCCCACAATGCTCTGTCCTATCTGTTCTCCCTCCTGAGGACATCGAGAGGGGGTGGGTTTGGGGGGGACTGGCTGGGAGTGTGCATTCTTGTTGCATATGTACATTCAGGGGTAACTCAGGCCAAGGTTGCCATCGATGTACCAAGCACTTCCCTGAACTGGCTACCTCCGGTTTCAACATGAGTTGGACGGTGCCATCTTCAATGCGGCACCCAGTGAGTTTGGGGCCCGGTGGGGCTACTTTTCTCCTGTCCCTCTCCTCTGGTCTGGGCTCCTGTGACTCCGCCTGCACAGTACTGTTAGGGGGACCCCCAGGCCCTCCATGATCACCCCATTTCTGAGGTGGGCACACGGGAGCTAAGCTGTTAGCCTGAGGTCATACAACGGAAAATACACAGCTTTACTGCCTTTTCAGGGGTGAGGAAGTCTTAAAAAGGTACCCCAAACTCATGGTAGTAGAGTACTAGTTCTAATCTTAATTATGGTAGCTTACCCTTAAGCAAGGAACCCTGGAGGTGGCATGGGGGTTACTCATTGGGCTGGTAACTGCAAGTCTGCAGTTTGAAACCACCAGATGCTCCCCAAGAGAAAGATGGGGCCTTTTGCTCCCATAATGAGTTACAGTCTCGGAAACTCACAGGGCCAGTTCTACCCTGCCCTACAGTCACTAGTGGTCGGCATCAACTCAATGGCATTGAGGATTTTTTTTGTTTAATTTGCCTTCAAGGAGTGGTCTCAATATGTCCGGGACTCTGCTAAGTACTCTAGGCCCATATTCCTCCCATTTTGCATGAGAAGACTGAGATTAAAACACAGTGTTATGCTTTGGGATTTGTTATAATCTTGGGCGGGGGTATAGACGCAGGGACATATTGTCTCTCAGTGGCTTGGTTCCCCACCACATTGGCTGCAGCCTAGCCCCTGCTGACCGTGCATCTGATGAGACAGCTGTGTGATATGTGTGCTTGTGGGACCACTTCTCCCCCTCCCACGCTGCTTCCCTCGCTTTCCTCGAACATGCTCCATGACCTCTGGTCAGCTTTGTTGTCAGGTACCATTCTTTGCAAGGTGTCGTTATGGACAACAGAACGGAGGACTGTGCTGTCCTGCATCATTCCCATATTTGTTATGTTGAACCATTTGTTACAGCCAGGGTGTCAGTTGAGCTTGTCGAAGGTCTTCCCCTAAGCGTGATGTCCTTCTCCAGGGGCCGCTCCTTTCCCGCAGCGTGACACTCGTCGCTAGGGTCTGGTCCCTCCAAACAGCATTTCCAAAGTACATGAGATGAAGTCGCATGCCGTCCTCACTTCTAAGGAGCATCACAGATATACTTCTTCCAGGGCAAGATAGATTCAGTGTTCTTTTTCAGTACCGTAATTCAAACGCATCAATTCTTCTATTCATTGCCTTCTTCCTTATTTGTTGATTTATCTTTTTATTCATTATCTTCTCCTTATTCACTGTTAGCTTTTACATATGAGGAGACTGCCTATGAAATGACTTTGTAGGAGGTGACTGAACTTTTTATGGCATGAGTCAGGTATACTTTTAGTGCTCAAAGTGACATCGTTACTCTTTTACATGTTAAAGAGGTCCTTTACAGCAGATATCCCCAATGCAGTACATCTTTTGATTTAAAATGTTTTATTGTCATACTTTATATATCATACAATTTAATCATCCAGTCCTATGAAGAAGAGTTGCGCAACCATCACCACAGTCTATTTCAAAGCATTTTCTTTTCGTCCTTGTTGTTGTTAGCTCCTCCTTTCCCCACACCCTCCCCTGACATGCTCGTGGTGCTTATTCATCCAGTCACTGCCTTTATAGAATTATGTAACACTCATACAAAGCACAAACAGGACGCAAACAAACAAATCAACAACCATGACAACACAAACCAGAAAAACCTCCATCCAAAAGAAAGTAGAAAATGTTTTAAAAGGAAACAACTGGGTGCGATGTAACAACGATGAGAAATACAATCTTCCTCTAGTTCCTAAAGGTTTCCTCCCCGCTCCCACTACCATGACTCGAATTCTATCTTGCAAGACTGGCTGGACCAGAGGAGGTACACTGGTACAGATAGGAACTGAAAATACAGGGAATCCAGGGCGGATGAGCCCTATAGGACCAGTGGTGTGAGTGGCAAAACAGGGAGGGTAAAGGGAGAATGGGTAGGAAAGAGAGAACCGATTACATGGAACTGTGTGTGACCTCCTCCCTGGGGGACGGACAACCGAAGGGTGGATGAGGGGAGACGTCGGACAGGGCAAGATATGACAAAATACCCATTTATAAACTATCAAGGGCTCATGCGGGAGGGGGGAGCGGGGAGGGAGGGGAAAAATGAGGACCTAATGTCGGGGGTTTAAATGGAGAGAAAATGTTTTGAGAAACGATGTACAAATGCGCTTTACACAATTGATGTGTGTATGGATTGGGATAACAGTTGTATGAGCCCCTAATAAAATGTTTAAAAAAAAAGAAAAAAAAAAAAGGAAACAACTTTAAAGTGGGTCAAAAGGCAGATCAAATGATAAGGTGTTACATTTTAACCGAACTAAACCTGACACCATCCACTTTACAATGCTCCTGTCTGTCTCGAAGCTTACTCCATGTGGGGAAGCTGCCAAAAGATACTGGGCTTCCACTGACATCAATGTACATCTGCAAACCAGGTGTGCAGCATTTAAACTCTGATACATTCCCTCCTTCAGATTTGGATTCTGTTCTTTACAACCTTTGGATAGCACAGGTTGGTGTGTGTCTTCCATGTGGACTTAGTTAATGCCTCACTTCAATGGCTGTTTGTTTGTTTGTGATATATGCCCAGCAAAGGTATTCTTGGGCTTATGGTTTCTCTAATCCCAGTTGTTTTAGGTAGCTTCCCACAACAGGTGTACATATTTATAATCCCATCTGTGTTTGAATTCCAATCTCTCTGAACCTTTTCCAATATTTGTTTTCTCTCTCTACCCTTTCCTGCATTAGGTTATTATTGTGGATGTAAGGTACTATCTCATGGTTGTTTTAATTTGCATATCTCAGATGGCTAGTGAGAATATGCTCATGTGTTTGTTAATCATTTGAGTGTCATCCCTTGTGAATTGTCTATGTCCTTTGTCTAATGTTCAATTGGACTCATATGTGTATAAGAAAGTGCTTTATAAAATATTTGGAAAAAGATGACAACATATGTACAGATGTGTTTGACACAATGAATATTAGTATGGATTTTGATAAGACCTATAAGAGCCCCCAATAAAATAAATATTAAATAATTAAATAATAAAGGGAGGGGGGAGAAAGAGCTTTATATACAAGAGCAGTTGAATATTGAGAAAACATCCCAGCCCAGTACAGATCAAGCACACAAATCTGATATTAGCCCATATGTCCAATACCAATCTAAAGTTCTCTTCCAACTCAAGAAACACATAAAATGATGCAGAATGCAGGAAGATCACAGGGCAGTGAGTGGGAAGTCTTGTGGATCCAATGGCATTGTAAGCATCTCAGCGCTGGCAGGGGTCCCCCACGTGGTTCCTCCAGTTCAGGGTACTAGCGTAGTTCCATGTGTCTAGTCAGCTGTAATGTCTCCCAGAGAGTGAGCAGAGAGAGATAGTGTCTCCTGCCTCCAGGGAGGAATACAGGAGTTCCCAGAATCCTCAGGAGAAGGCCATCCCCACACAGAGGCCTCATTGGCTATACAATGATTGACAGGCTAGACTCCACCCCTACACTCTTAATCTTCTCAAATTGACAAACGATTATATAACTACCACAGCCCCTTTGTCCATTGTGTCATTGCTAAAGATTTTTACCCAGTTCATGGGCTCTTGTTTTACTCTGTTGAGGAAGTTTTTTGATGGGTATAAGTGTTTTATTTTTAATAGGTCCAAGTCATCTATTTTTCCTTCCACTGCATGTGCTTCATTTCTAAGATTTGGGAGACTGTGTATGCCCTGTAACAGGGCCCTAAGTTTGTACCACTTTTCTCATTGGTGATCCTTATAGTTCTGGAGTTTACATTTAGGGCTTTACAATGAAGCCTAGTTCATACTGAAGGCTGCACTCTTTGATCTTCATAAGTATATGGTTCAAAGTCTCTTGGCTTTCAGCAAGAAAAGTTGTGTCTGTTGTCTGCATATCTCAGGTTGTTAATCAACCTTTCTCTAGTCATAATGCCATGCCTTCCCCCCACCCCCAACTTAGTGCAGTTTACC